GGCTCTTGCCCTTTTTGACTTCATTAACCTCAGGAAGAAGCTCTTGTAGTAAAGGCCAGAAAGTTGTCATTCTATCTCTCTCCCTTGAGCTGCAATCAAAAATACTTGGAACCACCTGGCATTCTCCACAGGACTGGTGGAATATCCCTGCAAATCAACTCTGTCTATGGGTCCCAGAGGCTAGCACGATTTAAGTGGAAGATAGTGTGGGAAACTCACTTTGTTCTTGGACTTCAGTCATGATAAGCAACCCATTTTTCTATTAATGTTAATAATTTTCCCATTCTGACTCCCCTATTTCTTACTTGGCTAAGAACATGTAAAGACAGAAAACCATGGATAATTAGGATTCCTTACAGTCCCTTAAACAGCTTCTCAGGTTCAAAGATTCTAGTAAGGTGAGAAATGGACTTTATATTCAAGTGACTGACAGTTGCATAGATTTCCACAATGCTCTGAACCTAACTGCATGATAGAATTTAACCAACAGATTGCAATGTTTTGTTTAATTCCTACTGTTCTGTCCCTACTTGTAAACATTTTTAGGCAGAAATAGAATCTTGGTCTGCCACATAGTCTCAGAATCCAGAAAACTGTTTGCAGACAACACAATGCACATAGAATGTTTGCTCATTCTGACTTCTGAGCAGGGCCTGATTTTAAAAAATCAACATCTATAACTTGCCTTGGTTCTGAAAGTTTATTTCTAGAACAGAGCTTTTAGTTATATTCTAAAGTCCTTTCAGCACAAATTTCTATATGAAAGTCATGTTTTCTTTCTCACTTGTTATTTTTACTTTCAGAGTGGGGTGGAGGCCCTTCCTGCTTAAAATAGAATTTCCCAAATTAGTCTCCACTAAAATCGTACCTTTGTTTCCTACCACACTTGACTCAGGGTAAAGAAAGATGGGTTCAAAAAGGCTGAAGAGATGGCTCCGCAGTTAAAAGCACTGACTGCTCTTATAGAGGACCTGAGTTTGCTTCCCAGCACCCACATGGAGGCTCACAATCTTCTGTAACTCCAGTTCCAGAGGAACCAATTCAGTCTTCTGACCTCCACACGCATTTCACACATGTGGTGTACTTACATACATGCAGGCAAAACACTCACACATGTAAAATAAAAATAAAACAAAAAAGGCTAAGTGAATTGCAAAATGCACAGAAGGCATACATATCACCTGGTGTTTTGTTAAAATGCATATTCTTTAGCATGTGAAGTCTATGATTCTATATTACTAAAAAGCTTGCAGAGGTTCCCATATTTCTGGTATGAGGACCATCCTTTAAGTGTGAAGGAAGTGGATGATACACTTCCCAAACACAATCATTTATTTATTCAACATTATTTCGTTGTAATATACGGCAAGGACTGGGTTATGAAACTAAATAGGAATGTGACAATGAAGCCCACAGGCTAAGGGGGCAACCGATATAATAAACAAGTTCTATGATTATCATTAAAAAAAGATGAACTGTAGATTAGGATAAGATATTTAAACATACACCTCTCCACGGAAAATGCAGAGATGGCAAAGGAGCCTACAAAAGATGAACACTGTATTCCATCAGGGAATTGCAAATTAAAATATCAGTGAGATATCACTAAACACTTCCTAGAATGATGAAATTCCAAAACACTGACAACATCAAATGTTGGCTAGTATGTTGGTGGAAATGCAAAATGGTACCACATTGGAAGACACTTTAGCAGTTTCTTACAAATGTAAATATACCCTCAAACAAGCAATCATCCTCCTTGGTTTTTATCCAAATAAGATGAAAACTTATTCCTACACAAAGACTTCTACATGAATGTTTGTTTCTAGCACTTCATGATTATCAAACTTGGAAGCAACCAAGATTCCCTTCAGTAGGTGAATGAATAAACTATAAGACCCCCAAACAATGAACTATTATTCAACCCTGAGGAGAAATGAGCTATTAAGTCATGGAAAGACACTGAAGAAACAAATGCATGTTGCTCCATGAAGGAAGCCAACAAGAAAAGGTTACAAAGGATGTGACTCCAACTATCCTGAAAAAGACAAGGCGATAGATAATAATCAATCAATTAGATGATTTCCAGGAGAAGTACAGGAGGGGTGGGCAAGGGGGCCACAGATGGATCCTAAAATAGTAAAGCTGTTCCTATGGCCACAGCGGTGGGAACAGCTCATTAGACAAGTCAAAAATTTTTTAAAAAAAAAAAAAAAAAAAAAAAAAAAAAAAAAAAAAAAAAAAAAACCCTACAGTATGGAGAATAAGCCCTAAGGCAAACTAGAGATGTTGGTTGATAAGGACACACCAATATTGGTTCACTGTTAATGAATATTCTGCAGGGGAGGACACATGGAAAATTTCTCTGCTTTCTGCTTGGTTTGATGAACCAAAACTTCTGCTTAAGGAGTTTTCTCCTCTCTCTCTCTCTCTCTCTCTCTCTCTCTCTCTCCCTCTCTCCCTTCTTTCTTCTTCCCCCTCTGTTTCTTATATATACCTATGAAAATATGATAGGGTGTGATAATTCATTCTAGGGACTTGGTACACAAAACTGATCAAGTACACTACATGCAATGAATCTAGCCACTGTTTCATTAACACTAGAAAATACATCAAAATCCTTCAGAGTGCTTTTTAAAGAAAGTGACTGCAATGCAGCATGGCAGACTTTCTGAATCAGAATTTCCTAGTGCTAGGAGTTGGTAATATGCAGGTCAACTTCTTTGGGTTGTTTTTATGTGCCATGACATTTATGAATTGCTTCTCTTTGGGGTCCACATCTCTTTAGTGGAAAGGGAAATACTAAATTAATTTCAAGGAAATATTAACAACTTTACTGTCTTATTGGTAACAATCAATAATATTAAAATTCATGGAAATTATTAAATTGTCTATCACCTACCTGTAAATTAAATAAATATGAAGATACAGGAACAGATTTATTTAGGTAAACACACATACATAATTTTAAATAGGAATATAAGCATAACTGACATGAACTTTGACAAGCGTGGTGCACATATAGGAATAGACCATCTAAAGAGGTAAAAATCATTAACATATTTTATTGTGACACATTAAGAATATGAGGCTGAGGAAATGGCTCAACAGGTAACAGCACTTTTACAAACAAGAGTCTGGATCCCTAGCACACACATAAAAAACTGGGCAAGTGTGCCTGTAACCCTGCACTGTGACTGACAGATACAGGAGGATTTCTGGGGTCCACTACCTCTCAGCCTTACTCCAGATTCAGTGAGAGACCTCAAGGCAATAAGGTGGAGTGCGATAGAACAGGAAACCCGACTTCCTCTTCTGAGTCCAGTACCATGCACACCCACATACACATGTGCTCATACAAAGCACACACACACACACACACACACACACACACACACACACGCATTGAAGGATTTTTAGAGAATATTCTAAACAGAGTAGACAAAAACATTTTGTCTTTTAAGTTGAAAACAACTCTGAAAGAAATGTCCAACTTTGTGTGTTTATCTGCTAAGAGGAAAACTACTCATCCTCCCATATTTCCTGTTTCTATTTTTAACAAGAACTGAAGCAGCTATTCTAATGTCTTTTTGCATAAAATGTCTGCAAATGCACCTGACTGAAAGATCTTACTAATAATGGTAGTTGAAAAAATAGAGCTGCAGCCCTAAATCCACAGAACTCAAACCCAATATGATGAGCACTGTTTTTGTGGTGTTTTGATGCTCTCTACTCACATCCTAGTCTCATCATTTTGTGAATTATTTTTTTCAGTGATTCATTTGCTCTTGTACTTCACACTTCATAAGCAAACTGAAAATAGGATGGCAATTTGTATGGATTCTCTTGTCTCATTTCTATGAGTCACCTGCTCCTGCATGGTGCATGTGCCCAGGCACACACACATGCATGCACATACACAGACCACATTCATTCATTCAGTAGCTCTTGTGTTTGTTCTAGTGGACCCTAGCTCTTGCCATCCACTTTATATGAAGACTATGGCATTATTCAGTAGCAGAACCGGAGATTTCTAGCCTCAAGCTGTTGAATTAAATTATAATGTTTAATAATTAAACTCAAGTACTCTGGCAATTCAAAAAACCTGAAAATGTTAATCCTCTTAAGAGATTGCAACATCAGAATTTTTCTTTATATATATACACATATACCTACATATAATTTTTATTTTATGTGTACAAGTGTGTTGCCTGCATGTATGTGAGTGCACCAATATCATGCAATGCTGTGGAGGTCTGAAGAGGGCGTCAGATTCCCCTGGAACTGATATTAAGGACGACTGTTAGCCGCCATGTGGGTGCTGGAGATCGAACCCAGGTCCTCTCTATGAGCAGTCATTGCCCTTAAGCACTGAGCCATCTCTCCAACCCAACATCAGAATTTTTAAATGAGTGATTATAACAGTACTGTGTTAAATACGACTTGCCCTGGTTCACTTCACAAAGACAGCAAGAAACAGATGTTAATGAAAGTATGTTGACCCCTACTGATCAACTAAATAATTTTTACTCTCTTGCCTTCCATTAACTGTCCTTTTAATTCATCATTAGGTAAAGTATGAGGCAGTTTAAAAGTCCAGCATGCACACTCAAACAAACACATATACATGCACAACATACACAAATAAACAAAACAAAAGATAAGTTCAGCCTGTATTTGCCTGATAACACCTACTAGCATTGACTTTTACTCAGATGCCCATAAGTACATTAGTTCAGCAGCGTTACATGACATTCATGGGTATCACTTGACTTGACCCAGACACTGAGTCACCACTTTGATTATGCACTGTACATTGATAGCTCCATTCCTAGCTGGATTTGCTTCTCAGTCTAACACAGTGGATATGAGCATTTGTTTGCCAGGGATGGAGAATATCAGCCCCACAGCTATTTGGCATATTCTTATTTGGTGACACCAAATTCTCTTTCTAATTTTTTTTCTGTATTTTCAAGATTATTTCTCCTTTATATTTCAGAAATGCTAGCTATAGATTTACATACAAAGTTTTCTTATCGTGGAAGATTGGGAATATACAATCATTACTGTATTTATAATTATTAGCTAGTCAAACTAGGACATTCTTCCTCTAGAATGTATAGTGAGCTGATCCAAATAGTACACATCTTTCTTCCTTATGTCTTTCTGATAGTTCCAAAGGAAACCTTGAGTTCACATATTGAGTAAAACACAGCCAAATGTAAATGTATTATTTTGCTCTTTGTGATAAGAAACAATTTTACAGAGAAAATTCTGTTACTCAAGGATCTAATATAAAAATCTTTCAAAATTTTCAGGAGAAATTTTCATCAAATATTCTATGGACCCCTAAGACCCAGCAAGAACGACCTTAATGTGAAAATTCCTAGATTGAGGAAGGTTATCTGATACGCTGCTGGGTCCAGACAACGATGTGGACATGCCCTTCATTCAGCACTCACAGCCTGGTGTCCGCAACAAGTTTAACTTCTCACACGCACAGACGCATATTCTGTGGGTGCTTCTTGCACGTTTCTTGCCTGTCTTGGGTTTCTTCCAATGACAGAATGGTTCAGGGAAGCATAGACAATTCCCTGTTTATTTCCCTCCAGCTGTGAATTAGAATAAACTTCAGACTCTTCCTGGATCCTGAACCAGGGATCATTATCGTAAACGCCAGTTTCTGATGGCAGTTCTTGGGGATTTTTCCTGGAACTCACTGGAGTGTCAACCTACAAGAGAAAAGAGATGCATCACCTACGGATATAACAATACATATTCATCACCAAACTACGAGTGAAATGGTGGTGTCCAGCATATTGAGTGAACTCACCTGCTGTTCCTCATGTATGCTGCTTTAGTATCTACATTTTCAGCAGACTTTGGATAATTAAAAGATGAAAGTTTTTTTAAAGTTATGCCCAGGTCCTTGTGAGTGCTAGCCAAGTACTTGACCACTTAGTCACACTCCCATCCCCAACAATGAAGTTTGAAGTCAACTATATTCTTCCCAAATAATTGTTTTGTGCTTTATTGAGGATGATTTTTGAGGTAACAAAATACTCTTAGTACCCTTTCAAGATAATAACATGGGCCAAATTCATTGGAAAAGCAAAACTTATTCCAGGAAAACTTCCGGCAGTTTATAACACAGTGAGCAGTACTAATGTGGTAGAGAATAAAAAAGATCAAAAGTATAAACAGAAGGAACAGAGGCCACCACAAAGTGAAGGGACAGTATATACTGAGTCACCCAAGATGCACCTTATGAGCTGAGAACTAGGACTGGAAAACCAATGGCAACTTTGAAGGGACAAGTTTAGATGAAGTTTGAAAATGTTATTCTAGTTGTTATTTCTATCACAAGAAAAGTCACACTTTCAAATAGTGTCAAATACCTAAGATGTCTGGGACAGAGGGGGAGTGTGGAAACCAAAGTGAATCCTGGTATCTTCCTCCCTCTTTTCAGTTATTGCTTAGCTGTTCCTGTGGTAAAAACGAAGATGTTGTGTTCATAGTAGGAGTTTTAATTTCTCTCTCTGTCTCTCTGTCTCTCTCTCTCTGTCACTCTCTCTCTGTCTCTCTCTCTCTCTCTCTCTCTCTCTCTCTCTCTCTGGCGCGGTATGTGGTGGTCAGAGGTTGAAGTCAGTGTCTTAACCCCTCTACCTTATTTTTGAGACAGGCTTTCTCACTGAAGCTAGAGTTTCAATGAAGCTTTCTGGGCTGTGAGCCCCCAGGATCCTCCTGTCTCCATTTCCTCCTCCACCACTGGGTTTACAGTTGTATACCACCATGCCCAGCTTTTATGTCAGTGCTAGGGATCCAAGCTCAGTTCCTCCTGCTTGCACAGTGCTTTACCCACTGATCCATTCTCCCAGCCTTTTGTTTTGATTTCTTAAATCTCAATTTTGCCACCCAATATATATTTTTTAAATTTTGACCTCACTCTATGTTATCAGGTTCATGATCTTTGACAAATCATGTGCCTTCTCTGGTCTGTGGTAATTCTCACTGTGACATACATAAGTGGTAAAATTTCTGTGACATCTCCTGGGAAAAGTTCTACCCTGAAAGCATGTTTGGCCCTAGCTTGAAAAATAAGAAAGTAACTGCTGATGTCTTCTGATGTGGTGACTACTCAGAAATAACGCTAAAGCTGGATTAGAAAACCAGGGTGGCTTGGATAAGGTTGAAAGTGCCCTGTATAAAAGTGAGCCTGCAGGTGGGGCACTGAAGGCTGTCAAGTGAATTGATAAATAGCCATGAATCTACAATATGTCAACAAGGTCCCTCCTATATTTTTTAATCATATCAGTCTTTCAGTTCAGGTAACCTAACTCTCTTCCCTAGGATGCTTCATTTCTGTGTAAAATTCTGTTAGAAAGAACATGGTTCACTGCACCCAAAGCTCTCCTATAACACTCCATCAAAGTGGTGGGTACCACATGTGGGAGCACCAGGATATGGCAGCCAGAGATAATAAAGAGAAACTGATAGGCAGAAGCAGTAAATGTCACCTTACATACCTACGACACTTAATGGTTATGAAGAACTTTTAAAAATCTGTATGTTAATATGTAATTCACATTCTATAAAACTGACCTTTGAGAGTATATAACTGAGTGACTGTTAGTATACAGCACTTTTATCCCTTACAAGGACTATCGTGAAATAGGATCAGAACTTTTGTTTTATTCTTTTTATGTTTTTGTTAGCATACAGTAACTATGCATAATGACCTTTATTATGATGTTTAGGTATGAATATAATGCACTTGTTCATATTCACGCCTATTTCCTTCTCTTGTCCCCTTTTTACTCCCTCTAGTTTCCATCCTCTTCCCAGCTAGTCTCCTTTTTATTTTCATGTCTTTCTTTTCCCAATGAGCTTCATTAGGATTGCTTACAATAGCATGAGGAAGGTTTATTTGTAGTGACCACACTGAAAATGCCCTTCCCTCCCCACCAACCATTAATTGCCTATACATCCTCAGGGTTGCAACACCTTGGAAGCTCCTCCCCACTCCATGACAGGATGTTGATGGGCCCCATCTCAGATGGCTCTTGCACAGATAATCACAGATGCTAGGAGAAATCTGCATTTTGTATACAGTGCTACAGATACATACACACACACACACACACACACACACACACACATGCACACACAAATTCCTGGCTCATGGTGTCACCTAAACTTACTGAAAAATATACAAATGGTATAATCCAATGTGCATTTTTCTTAGTAGATACATCAAACATACCAGGTTAATTTCTCTTCCCACTGAGTCAGGAGGCTTTATTTCTTTCTCTAGGAGATTAAAATTTAAAATTAAAAAAAAAAAGGAATCAAAAGGAGTTAAGAAAATAAGATAACCACTTTCCCTCCACACCCCACCCCCTCATATGCTAGTGATCATGTTATTGGTTTCACCTTGCTTATTTGTCTTGGTTAGCATCCTTTATACAACTTCAGTTTGTGAGGTAGGCACATGCCCATTTCCCTCCCATCATTTCTCAATTCACATAACCCTGTGGTACATCCAACAGGAAGGGGTAGAATCTTGTTCATCACTTTGAAAAGTTTGAAATTGTTGCTCTGGGGCCATCCCATACTAAATGTTCAAAATGCTTCTGTCTGCTCAGCCATAAATGGAATCCCTATATCATATCCTTTCCCCACAAGGCCTGGGGAACATCACAGAAGGGAGGGTGGAAAGATACTAAGAATCAGAATTGGGGAGGATTGGGAAGGACTGGGGTGAAACAACATCTTCTGTATATGAAACAACATTGCATCCATGAACTCACAGAAGCTATGGTAGTTTGTACAAGATCTGCACAAGATCAAGCCAGACACATTCCAGCATGGATGGGAGAGGGAATCATGAGCCCCAAATCCTAGCTGAGGCAATATTAACAGCTGATGGATGCTAGGAGGAAAGTCAGTTTCTTTAGAGGTACAGTCTCTGGATGGTTGACCAAGCTCCAGTGGATGGCCCACACCTATGCATATATAGGCAGCACTAAGTGGACTGAGTGGATTACAAAAAGAAAATGAATGACTGAATGAGGACATGAAGTTTGGAGGGGGATGTTGTGAGGGATTCAGGAGGACTTGGAGGAGGAGAGTGAGGAACTGAATGTGATAGAAATATGTTATATGAATGTGTGAAATTCTCAAAGAATAAATGAAAATTAAAATGCTTGTATCACATATACAGATGCTCAGTTCCCTTTGGATGTGGCAAATCAACAAAAATTACTCCTGCTTCTTTTTTGTGAAGTTCAGAGAGAGGCTCTAGTAGCCTCAGGAAATATGAGACTACAAAAAGAATAGAAAATGGGCTATGGAGGTACAGGTGCAGAGGTTGGATTATAGGGGATTCTTTAGAGAAAGAAGGCTCTGGGCTCCAGAAATACATACTTCAAAATACTAGAAGCAGTTTGACAAAGCTTTCTCCTGTGGCAACCAAATAAGGGATGCTTTGCCTAGCTCAGTTCCTAAAGCTACACTATGGTTGGTGTTACAGGAAAAGGGATGGGAAATATGGAGAAGAAGAAAACGGAAAGAAAAAGAAAATTCAGTGGACCAAATCAGAGCTAGATTGTAACTTATGCATTCATCTCTTGCTGTGTCTAAGTATTCAGTAGCACAATGAAGAAATGTTTTAAAAGTAGAAAGGAATTGTTTTAAAAATATCATACCTCTCCCATTATAGTCAAACACACATTTCTCAAATGCAGTATTGTTAAGGATTCAGTTCAAGGATGTGTTTATGGTGGCAATACAAAGTACACACACATACAAATTCCTTCTGGGGACATTGATTCTTTATTTAGACAAAGATGTGTATCATGAGAATGATATGGTATAGCTATTAAAAAGGTTATGATCATGTAATTCAAATCAGACATGTTTATTCAATAAATTATTTCAATCTCTCAACTTGGTTGAAGGTTAGGAGAGCTCTTTTACATACACCTAAGACTGATATGTGTAGAATGAGAAAATCCCAGTTACATGCCCTCTTAGCACACAACCCTGGCTGGGGCACTGTAAGGTACTGAGCAGGGTTTGTCATTCCTGAAGGGAAACCAAATCAAACTTTGGCTTTCTGGAGGAAAGATAAGTAGTTCCCCAGGAAATCGTTATCCAGAAAGAAAACAAGAATCAACTAAAAATCTATCAATTCCCCCCAAAAGAACCCCAAATGTGTGGGACACAAGGGAAGAGAGAAATTGAAACCCACCTTGGTGACTTTTCAGGAAGCAGATCAGACAGAAACAGGCAAGGAGGAGCAGAGGCAATGCCCCCAAGGGAAGCAAGCTGTAAAGCAGCCAGGGCCTTCCCACAGTCTCTTTCACGGAGGGTGGTCCAGAGGCATTGGTTGTAACTGGAATGTTGGGCAAAGCTGAAAATAGTTAGGAAGTCTGAGATATATTAGTGTGGCGGCACCCTCTGCATCATCATAACTCGAACAAGCTGATTCCTCCCTTTGAAGGCTTAGTGTCTTCTACCACCTTTTTTTATCTTTTATGAAAAATATCTCACTCTGCTTGGGCCAGTCATCTAATCTCTACAATGGTTCTCAAAAACCACTTCACCAAGTCCTTCCATTTATATTTTTAGTTCAATGCTCAGGAAGCCATTTTCTTTATGCAGTCCTACAACTTGACGGGAGTGTTATTACTCCAAAAACCGCCTAAAGTCAGACAGCTCATGAATAGCAGTTGGGAGTCAAGCCAACATGTTACTAATGCTAAATTCACATTCCTTCAACAAACACAGCACCTTTACTTTGGTTCATAAGTCACTGCTGTCTCCAAATACCAAGTACTTTAAAAGAAACGTTTTAACCAAATATACTTAGCTTGGCATATGGCTAATGCCAGTGTTAACATTCATTACAGCCCTATTTGTTCATGGTTGATTGCAATTTATTAATACATTATAAAACAACACAAATATCACAAATAGTATTTTTTTAATGACACAAGACAAATTAGAAAACATCAGAATGCACTGGGTGTGGTGGCGCACGACTTTATTCCTAGCACTCAAGAAGCAGAAGCAGACAGATCTTTGTGAGATGGAGGCCAGCCTGGTCTACATAGTGAGTTCCAGGCCAACTGGGGCTACAGAGAGACCCTGCTCAAAAAAAGCCCCCCACCCCAAATACAGATGCATAATAGACACTACAACAGTGGTTCTCAACTGGAGCAATTCTGGTCTCTAGAGAACATGTGGCAATGTTTGGAGACATTTCGGGTATGACAAGGTGGAAAAGGCATCTAATGAGAGGTCCAGGGATTCTGCTGAACTTCCTACATTACACAGGACACTCTTCCCTTACCACAGCACAGAATTAAACAACTCAATATAGGTATGGCTCCGTGAAACAGATTTTATTTTTGCATGTATGTGCATTCTGGGTTACGGTGGAAGATCTACTTTCTATTGGGGATCTACTTTCTATTCTAATACAATATTGAAAACAGTGAAGTAAAATATTTTCTTAACTGTGTGACATTTTTCCCCTAGATGCTTGCTTTGGGGGTGAAAATGATCAGGGGTAACTGAAGTGGGACATTGTAGCTCAGTAAGGAAAAGTGTTGGCAGATGTACAGTCTGTGCTGGAGCTGCTGCATAGGTTGGACAAGAAGCCAAATCATCACCTGGAGGAGTAGGTACAGCTGTCTGGGGGAAAGCAGTTGGATGGCAAACAGCAGATAATCTGATACAAACTCAGTTTTAAAAGCCCTATCTCCATTATTTCTCTGAACAAAAAACAAACTTGCTAAATTTGATTGGATTCATACTTACTTATTAGATGATAGTCTGAATTATTTTGAGTCTGTTCTGAAATTTTAAAAAAGAGTAAGTATTAAAATTAGTTGAGAAAACAGTGAGTAAATATACTCTAAAATCAGAACTAATCTAGAGAGGATGACATTTTTGGCACACAAGCAGAGAATCCAATGATCAGGTCAAGTTCAGCTTGTAGAATTCATGTACTATCACCTTGAGATCATGGGACACAAAGTAAATGCTTTCAAGGCTAAGGAAAGATTGTATAAACACAGCATAGCTTTCCTCTGCCTTCTGTGTCTTTCTTCCCCATTCCTTAGGTCTAAGGACACAATGTAGCCTGTATGTCACTCTAACACCTGCAACATAACACATTCAGCAGGTGCTCCAAGAGAGCCACAGGAAAAGATGTTTTTGGTGATGTTCCAGGTGCTTGTTCTAAAACTAAGAGTATGTCTCCTTCTGCCTTTTCGATCCACACTCATTTTCCTGCACAGATAATGACTATTGCAGTTTTGTGACATCCCTAATCAGAGACTGACCTAGGACAAGTGGATAGAGCTGTAGACCAATGTATGTTCCAGTAACTGTTTTCTGGCTCTATTAGCGAGTTTCCTGAAACAACTGGCGTTCCTCATTCCTGAAGACTACTGCTTTCCCAAGAATATCCATGCCCCCTTCTGTCACACACTTGACCCTACATAAACCAATTTCTACCTTGAACATAAACAGCAAATGAAAGTTATATACAAAAACTGAGGCATTCCCAATATCCCTTAGCTATTTCAAGAAGACAAAACAAGGCCAAGCATGGTGATGTACGCTTTTAATGCCAGCCCTAGGGAGGCAGAGAGGCAGGCAGATAGATCTCTGTGAGTGCGAGACAAGCCTGGTCTACATAGTGAGTTCCAGGTCAGTTGAGGCTGCAGGGAGACCCTGTCTCAAAAAAAAAAAAAAAACAAAAAAAAAAAAAAAAAGAGGAGAAAACAAAGTATTTTAAATCATATCTCCAAAATTTATTCATAGCAAGCATTACCAAAACTCCAGAGCATAGTTCTACTGGGAGCTGACTATTCAGGACTGCCAGGTGCTGACAATTCGGCTCCTGGGGAACAGCCAACAAGATATGGCAAGACCTATTCTGGCTGGCCCCAGGCTGAACCTGCACAGGACAGCTCCAGGTACTCAGTCTTCAGGTATATGTCTTTCTCTTACTAGTTCAGCTTGGGTGCTGCTGATTCAACTACATATTATTAATGAAACTGCAGTTACAGATGATTAATGAGACTGCACAGTTCAAGGGAACTTGCAGTTCTATATAAAAGCTCTATAGTAAAATTTTCTGCTTTGAAACAAGGTATAAAGCATTATAATTCTGCAATAAACTACCTGCTTGGCCATCAGCCTACAGGTCCTTCTGATCCCAGCTGTTTTCATGTCTCTTTTGTGCTTTATCCTCTACCTTCCCACTCAGGTTTTAGGACCCCAGCAGCTAACCCCCAGCACAATTCTTTCCTCACTTTATAGGCAACTCATGGGCACTCTCAGGTTCAAAAGGGAAAGGAATTTTTTAATTTTCCCTATGATCACTGTTTCATAAAGAAGAATATATGCACAGTTAAAATTAAAGTTAATTCTAAAAAAAAATTGATTTTTGCAAAGGAGAAACAACCCCAAGAAATAAAACATAGCTCCTATTTTTCAAGACATTATAATGTTTTATGGAATTTAGAAACACACGTTTCTGTATATTGCAACAAGGAAAGGAAATGTATGATAAATGAGACACATAGAGCACAAACGGTATGCAAATCGATAGGCTGTAGTGTCAGCTCATCTAGGGTGATCCTCGAGACTTCCTGGAGAACTTGAGGGAATAAGCTGGACTTGAAAGCAAGGATAGAATTGTGATAGGTGGAGACAGAAAGATGGATGCCTTACAGGTGGTGAGAACTCTATAGAAAGAGTCAGGATAAAGATGTGGCAATGGCAGTGCTGGGGTGGGGAGTGGCTCAGCTGGTAAGCACTTGCTATGCAGGCTGGAGGGCCTCAGCTGAATCCCCAGAATCCATACAAAAAACCAGGCATAGCAACACCTGCCTGTAAACCTAGTGTTACAGGAGAGGGAGACAGGAGGATCCTGGGGGGCTCACTATCCAGTCAGCCTAGCCTATCAGTGAACTCCAAGTTTAGTGAGAGACTTTGTCTCTAAAAAAATGAGATGGAGGACACCAGATGTCTGTCTCTGGTCTCTGTGGGTGTGGGGTGTGCAATTGTTAGCCATCATGTGAATGCTGGGATTTGAACCCAGGTCCTCTGCAAGAGCAGTCAGTGCTCTTAACTGCTGAACCATCTCTTCAGCCCTCAATAAATGTAGTTTTATAGACTAAGTTCTTATATTTAAATCTTTGATCCATTTTGAGTTACTTCTTTTTTATTAGTTGGCAATTTCATCCACATACGACATGAGTTCTGTTCATTTTCATCTTCCCCGTTACCTTCTCACATCCCCCTTCCGATCCTGCTGAACCTCCTGATATGAAGCAGGGGGTTCAAATTCATGTTTTTGCATGTGTATATACAATTGTCCCAGCATCATTTGTTTTGAGGTTATTCGTTCAGTGATAAGAGATCAAACTCAGAGCCTCAAAGATGGTAGGTAAGAGTTCTACCACTGAGTTAAGTCCTCAGTTACTGTTGGGTAGAGAAATCCTTTTTCCTTTGGGTAGAGAAATCCTTCTTCCCCATTGAATGATTTTGACTCACCTGTTAAAAATCAATTGCTCATACACACAGAGTTTTATTCTGGACTCCCAATTTATTATGTCAATCTTTATGTCTAACCAAATACCAGCATCCCAGTATTTAAATTACTGTAGGTTAATAGGGCGTTTTGAAACAGGGAAGTCTTAGTCATCCAGCTTCCTTTCACCTCAAGATTGTTTAGGCTGTTCTGGGCCTATTTCAATTTGGCGTGAATTTTAGAATTAGTTTTGAACATCTTTATAAAATTAAGCCTTCCAACCCAGGTCCATGGGGCACCTTTCCACTAGTTTTCATCCACTACCATGTCTTTCTTTGTTGTTTCATACTTTATTTCTTCTGCACTTCTGCAGAAGTGATTTGTAAGTATTCATTCTTTTTTGTGTTATTATGAGTGGAATTTTTTTTCTTAATATCCTTTCAGATTATGCATTACTGGAATGTAGAAACACCACTCATTTTTGTGTGTTGGCACATCCTAAAACTGCTGAATTCATATATTAACTTTAGTAACTTTGTAGATTTTGTGGATTTTTCTGAATATAAAATCATGTCATCTATGAAAAGAAACCCTTTTACTTATTTCACTGCTTTTTTCTTGTTCTTGCCTAATTTCTCTGGCTGGAATGCCCAGCTCCATGTTGAATGAGTGCAGCAAAGCGGCCTTGTTGGGTTCCTGTTCTTAGGGGGCAGTCTGTCACCAGTGAGTACAGTTTTGACTATGGGATTTTCATAAATTGAATGTTCTTTACTTCATTCTTGCCTTTTGTTTTTCCATACATCAATCATTTTGGATTTGCCCCAGCTTGACACCTCCCTGGTATTCCTTTGACCCTAAAACCAATGAAAAGACTGGGGGGGGGGGCGAAGAATGCTGACTTTCTGCATATTCCCCCACTCAACAGGGAGTCAAGTTATTTGCATATTCTTTGTCTTTTAAGCAATCTGTGAATTACTGATATTAACAAGTGTGCAAAGAGCTGAGAATGCAAACATAATTTCTACAAATTATAGTCAACAAAAGGCAATTCCGGAAAAAATGAAAGGAAAAAATAAAACAAAGAGCAAAGAATAAAAAACTACCTATAATTATTGATATTTATTTTGTTTTTTTTTTTTTCCAGTATTTCAGTGATGTATTTTTGAACTTATCAAATAAATGTTGTAATCTCTAAAGGCAGGAACAATAACTTCCATTATATTTTCTCTACTCTTCTCAATCTCACTCACCCCACCCCCACAAATACTTACAAACTCGTATCTGTTACAGTTTGGGATATGTGGCAAACTAGATGTGGTACAAGTACTCCAATTTCTGACCTAATCACCTAATAATATGGATTGTCTCTTTCTGATAAACAAGAAGAGAAAAACAATAGATGGTTGGGAGGAGGGGGTGAACTCACCTGTCACATGTATGGCTATTGAGTGGCTTTTAATAACCCGAGAATGAAAGTTTGCAGAACAGCTGTATGATCCATTGTCAATTGTACGTATTGGTTCAAAATGTAGAATAAAAACTGGAACAGTCTGCCTTTCTTCCCAACTGGTGTGTAGATGAAGTCTATCCCCAAGTGGTAAACAGTTTTGTCCACTAACCTTGCACCAAGTCACATTAGGTCTGTGACCACAGTATTTTACAGGGCATTCAATTTTAAAGACCTTTCCAGCTGAGACACAGAATACTGAATGTCTCTTAATGTAAAGCTGTATTTCACATGACTCTTCCCCTAAAAAACAAAACCAAAATTAGAATGAGTATATTCTTCTAGAAGAACAATGTATCCGGCTGCAACCATTTCCACCAGAAATTTCCAAGCACAATTCTATAATTCTACTAGATTAAATTTTCCAGTACTAAGCTTTACTAGCCCAATTTCTGTACATTGTTGGCATATAATAAATGATTATTTAGGAAAATAAACTATTTAATTCTCCACCCCCCCCCAAATAATACTGATTATTATGAACACTCTTTTACAGATGAGGAGATTGTGGTAATAAAGAAGTTTCCCACAGAATTGGGACTCAAAGTCATAGTGAGTGCATTATTCCATAAATCATTGGCCATCAGCTTAAGCAGTAATCACATTTTCTACCAGCACTCGTATGGCTCATTAAGTGAGAAAGAGGAGTTAGTTGTAAACAGTCACCTCCCTTCTCTGTAATACTTGGCATTAGTTATTTTCTTCCCTTGTTTTTCAATGAGTTTAATGCTGCCTTGCAAGCTCTCCCATGATTTTCTGTGTAAGAGACATGCAGCTCAAGATAATCACCAGAAGGTCAGATGTGCTTTGACGATAACCTAATTTTTCTTATTTCTCCAAGCCAAAAGAGAAACAGCATTCCAAGTCACTGGGAATTTCTGTATACTGGCCGGATATACTGGAAATATGTCTCTTTTGTTTAGGGGACAAGTGCTTTTCTCTTGGAAATCAAATTGGTCTTCCAATAATTTATAAACCTTCAGTTGGTAATTATGAAGTGTTTATAAAAACTGCAGCACAAGCTAGGGGGTGGTGGCTCATATTTATAATCCTGGCTCTTAGGCTGAAACATGAAGATTATTGTGAGTTCATTGCCAGCCTGGGTTACACAATGATTTTCAGATCAGCCCAGGCTACACAGCAAGACCTTGTCTTTAAAAATCCAAAGGAAAATGGGAAAGAAAAAAACAAAAAACAAAAAAAAAACTGTAGCCTAGAAAAACAATTTAAATTTCCTATGTCATTGAATAAATTGTATTATAATTAACTTATGAAAGTATCTTGCAACCTCAACACGTAAACTTGACAGTCAAAGCACATGAAAAACACATCTTCTCTAAGCAGAAAAAATAGCTATTACAAGAGCCAAATTTGCCTCATTGTATACATAATTCTTACAGTCCCATTATCATTTGCTAATTTACCCAGAGAACGTAATTATGTTATATGGAATAGACTAAAAGAATAAAATTTAAAATTATGTTTAATTACATTTATTTTTTGAAACAAACAATTATGCAATCTGTTTTATAAAAGATTCTGTCAGCATGGGTACTTCAAAACACGAATTGGCTTCCAAAGGAACAAACTTCAATTACTGAGGATGCAGTTATATGCAAGTATTCATCCTCTGATAATTGCAGGACTACACTGTTTTGGGGGGACTCATGAATAAAAGACACCAGAAAATGGTAAATTTATGACAACCAGTTTAAAATATTTATTATTTTTATATGTATTGAGTATATTGCTTGTATGTGTGTAAGTGCACCATGCTGTGCAATGCTGGGAGAGGTCCTAAGAGGGCATCAGATTCCCTGTAACTGGAGTTACGGATTGTTGTTAGTCACCATATGGGTGCTGGGAATTGTAACTGGGTCCTCTTCAAGAGCAGCCAGTGCTCTTAACCTCAGAGCCATCTCTCTAGCCCCACATGACAATAATTTTAAAAACCTTTTGGCATCAATTATATCATATTGTGTCTGACAGATCTATAAATCACAGGATAGTCCATTATGAATCAAATTCCTGAGCCAGTGAAAGAAAGAAAATAAGGAAAATAGGCCAAGATTCATTTCAGTTAAGCACTTTGTAGCACTTTTTGTCTTTTATTTTTTCATTACAGGGAAGGCGAAGCAAGCACATGATCTTAAACGTATTTAAAGTTCCTTTTCCTCTACCTTATAATTTCTTAGTTTTGAACTACTCTTCCCCACAGCAATATAGCGAACCCATCTCCTTACTGACTTCGTCCATTCACCTTAAGCATTCTTCTAAATAGATTTATGGAATCACAGGAAGGGCCCCAGCATAATGACAAAAGCAGGATGAGTTATAGTCAAAGTTGTCTTCAGAGATGAAGAGGGCGAAGGGCCTGCTCCCACTAGTCAGATGATGTCCTGAGTCCTGCCTCTCTATCTAGAAGTGTTCCACTCGACTTCATTCCTCTTGTTAGTGTGAATATTCTTGTTGCAGTTGTTTCCTAACACCTGATAAAACTCTCACTCTAATTTTTGCTCAGATTTTGTCAACTCTTTTTAGAATTACTGAAATCTTATTGAATTTCCAGAATCAGATGATGACTAGGGAACTGCAGAGAACTTTTGGCATCTCTGATTATTTACTCACTTATAACTATATCAAGTCCTCAAACAAATTCACTTTAAGACTTCCTATTCCAGTTACTTAAAAAATACAGAATAAAAGCCAGGTATGGAAGCATACATCTTTAATCCCAGCACTTGGGAGGCAGAGGCGGGTGGATCTCTGTGAGTTCGAGGCCAGCCTGGTCTACACAGTGAGTTCCAGGCTAACTGGGGCTACAGGGAGAGCCTGTCTCAAAAAAACACCAAAAAAAAACAGAATAAAAATGAAAGCAAATTAAAAGGTAAGTTACAAGGTTGAGGTTTTCAAAAACTTGAAGAGAAAGGATAAGAACAGTTACTATATGGAAGGAAATCTGATGTGGTCAGATTTATGACAAAAAACCGGGAAGCCAGAGGCAGAAAGGCCACGTGAAACCCTGTCTCCAAAGTCCATTCCTCCCAAGTTAACAGCACTTCAGTCTCCTAACTTCCCTTTTCATTTTCTTGAGTAAATTAGCAATAATTCACTGAGTCTACAACTCTGTGGTAGAATTGTGAAAAGCAAGATGGTCACAGACAAGGAGCCATTGTCCTCAAAGAGAATACTGTTTAACAAACTGCTGAGACAAAAGTACCGAAGGATAAGGACATTTTTCTAAATAAATTTATACTTACTATTTTATCTTCAAGTTTATCTTAGTTTAAAAGCAGTGTTCAGAGGGTCCTTTTATGCTAGTTGTTAGCTGGTATAGAAATTGTACTTGTGCCCACCTTTGTGGAATTTGCCTTCAAATGGGAAAGAAACACAAATACCAATGGGAGAGGAACACTGTAAATAGGTGCAAACCACTGGACTGGGCTACTGGGGTGAGGGTTCATGGAGACTGAGCTGCCACATGAATGAGCAGGTGAGATACTGAGGTATTATTGGGTTGGAGAAACAGAAAGACAAAGGCTTTTTACTCATCCAAAAGCCTCATGGTTAGCTCAACGAACTAATACAAACTTGGATCTTGGTTTTCTGGAAGTGGCAGAGACCACTAGCTGTTTCAAATAGAATATAATAAGCAAAATTGGGGATCATTTAAAGTTTTCCTACTTACCAAGACAAAATGCAGTGTCCAGCTTGAGTAGCTATAAAGGCCCCAAAGCAGTGAAAAATAAAAATATTTATTTGAATATAGTTGTTTCCAATGATCACACATTATGTGTGCTTGGAATAGTCAACCAGTCCCACTAACCCTCAATTTCTTCAAATTAAGATAAAGACTAAGCTAAAAAATAAAAACAAAAAACAAACAGGGAAGTTCTTACCCATCAACCCCAACACACAGACATGCACAATTTTACTTCCCTCAATGTTTGACTTAAAACCGTGTCTAGTCCACAATGTTTGTTCTTATACCATTGCATTACCCTTCTACTTAGCTAAAGAACTGTCACCTCATGCCAGTAACACAGGAAGACCTGCTTTCCAGCCCTAGCAGTCTACCATTATTTTACTTGAGAAGCATACATGAAGTGCATGAAGAAAAAAGCTAGTGATTAGTCCTGACTGCATCATTGGCTTGCAGTGGGATTACAGAAACACTACTGTGGTTTCTGAATATTCTTAGCAGCAGTATGAGAGTGACTGACAGTCACATCAGCTGGCACAGAAATTCTTGAATGGAAGAATGAATAGAATGAATGTTATAACAGGCATTAAAAGTCAAGGATATTCCCTCTATGTACAAATAAGCTGTTTCTTTTCCTATTCTTCAAGCCTTATAGCTGGTTCGTAGTACAAGAATGACCTACTGAATGCTACAATTCTAATTTTGCATCTGACAAGCATGTTGACAATCCTTTTCTGCCTGTCTTGAGTTATGTAGATCAACTCTATGGCACTCAAGATGCATAAAGCTATCCTTGGGTAGATTGTCTTATACAGTTTCTGATGGGAGATGACTATCATAGTTGGTTTCAGCTGTAACTTCTCTGCCAACTCTTGGTTATTTTTGTTCTTGCTACTATTGTTCCTGCTGTTTTTTCTCTGACATTCATATCTGAGAGGGAATTTTTTCAATGCTAAAAATAATTAAAAACATATGTAGTAGGAGGGTAGAAGGACCTACCACCCCCAGGAGTTCAGACAATAGCATATCTCTTTGTAAGCCACTATAAGTATAAGGAAGTCTCTCAGTTTTAAAATTCCTCAGAAAGTTGCTTCTGTATTATATTCCATATGAACTGGTATATGCGTGTATAAACAGGTTACTGGTATCAGGCACATGTGAAGACTTCATTTTATCATTTTGGGCAACTGCTAGCTTTATATGAAAAATTTCAGGAATCATAAAATGGAACAAACAATAAAATGACCAGAAAAATACATAATCAGTGAATATCTTTTTGCCTAGACTATCATATACAACTATGCATAATAACAAATAACTGAAGAAAGAGTACCAGAGGGAAAAATATACATCTATTTATGGAATAATTTGAAAGTTATGAACTCAATTCTTTACAGTCTGATATTGTAGCTTATAAAAATAATTATCCACTAACTAATAAATGAATATTTTTCAGGTTGGCCTCAAATGCACAATCCTCCTACCTCAGACCCTTGAGTATTTGAGTTGCAGGTGTATGCCACCATATCTGACTACAAGT